CACCTGGTTTACAATTTTGGTGAGTAAATAGGGTATATTGCTTTTGGAGAGGTTCGAATAGGTTAAGGGACCTCTCCAAGAGGGAGACCAAGTGGATATTTACCCTGCACTCACTGGCACCTGAAGGTTTAAACATTGAACTGGACTAAACTGTTTTATTAGTGATTATTAAAGTAATGTAAGTATAGGAAGTTTTTGGTAGGTTCTGAGATTATATATTATAATTTTTCATAACTTTATATATATATATTTATAAATTAATTATGGTTTTTATTGTTATTTTTTTTGGTTATGTGTATTTATTTTGTCTAATATACCCTCCTCCTTATGTTTTTTTGTATGCATTCAAGATACTGAGGCAATATTCTTGATGTCAGTTTAAAAGCCTCTAATTTTTGCAATTTTGTCATGTTTATTACATAGATGGATAAACTGACCAATATAGAGTTAATTGCACATATGGACAACAATCAGTAGGATGCCCTACACGTTTAATGTTTTTGACTAGATTATTATTATTATTATTACTACGAGTTTATATAGCGCCAAAGGGTTTGCTCAGCGCTGTACAATAGGGGGGACAATACATGACTAGATGAGAACCAGTTAACTCTGTTGAGGAGGAGGATATAAGGGTCAGGTCACTGCGCCATGTAACCAACTCCTCTGATGAAGTCAGAGGTGACTAAACGTGTTGTGGCATGGTTACGCATTCAGTCTATCCCAGAACTAAAGGGACTTGGCTCCTGTGCCTGATGGTTCAGAGAGTGGTGAGAACACTAAGCTAACATCTACAATTTACTGTGACACCATTTTATATGAGATGAGCTGGTTTTAACTTTTATTTTGTAAGTGTCTTTTAAAAAATAAATTGTGGTTAAGTTGGTTACTATACCATTGGAGGCTATTATTTCTTTTTCCATACTGATTTGAATATCATTGAGTTAGTTGGAGAAGTGTTCTAATGATATGATACCTGGAGGTTATGGTGGGAGTCTTTAAGCAAGATACCTCAGTCTTGAGAATGGTTGGCATATTCATCTGGTGAGTTCTATTCTACAGGGTGAGGGACTGCCCAAGCACATATGGTGTGGAATGAATATAGCACCTGATTTGCAGTACTTTCATGGACTTTTGTTTTGCACTATTTTTAATTTAATGCTTTAACTTTTAGTTTTTTAGTTGTTTATTTGCACTGTTTTGTGTTATTTGAGATTTATTTATCACAGCACTACTAGTGAAGTTGAGGTGTACTTATAGTTTGATCTCCTTTAATTCAATTCAATTTCTGAATATTCATCATGTCCTGGCCAGTCCATGGAAGGGGGCATCCAAAAGGTGGCTGGGGAGGTGATAAATGTGCAGGAAGCCAGAGTGTTCTTTTTCCTCGGGGGGGGGGGGGGAGTTGTCCAGTTTTTCGGAGGGGGGGTGGCTGTTGACCCAGGAGATAGCCAGAGACACAAGAAATTGCAATCTGGGTCTTAGCAGCTACACGGCTGAGGGCCTGGGGAAGATTGCCTGAGCATTAATTTTGCTAGAAGGCACTGCACAGATGACCTGGGTCTCAAGAAGGATCTAGTTAATCTCACTCACTTAGGATCTACCAGTGGATGCTAGGTGGCAGACAACTCCTGGGACGCTGTGAGTAAAGACCTAGCTGGGGACTGAAAGTTGTGTGAGTGCAATAAGGGAACTAAGTGCCAGAAGTGGGTTTATGGACATCTGCTGTAGTGGTCTATATATACAGGCCATTGTCTGCTATCACCAAAAAAAGCTGCTATTTGAAGATTAGAAAAAAATTTGTTTTCCTATCATTGCTACTGATCATTTTGGAGTATCCTGTGGTAAACCCCTCTTATTAAAGTTCTTCAGCAATAAATACTAAGAAGACATCCCCTAGACTGAGCCAGAATTGATGTTGTAAGTGGGACAGAGCTTGTGTGATTCACATGTACCACATTGGGAGATCCAGGTATATTCTCAGCAACACCTATGGGGTAAGCGCTATATGATTAACCCCCTGCCTGTTGCCAGATGTGACTGGAGCACCCGTGCCCATGAAATCTTAGGACAAAGTGTGAGTTGCAGAAGCCACCTCCTGTTGTCCTTGGTCAGGGTTTCTGTGATGATAGCTATTACAATAGGATTAATGAAATGACAGGAAAATCCTGGTGCACATAGTCTAAGACATCATCATCATACATACATACATACATACATATGAAGATCAGTAATAAACAAATCTCAAAACATCCATTGGGTCAGACATACTTCATGTATTTAGCCTTTCTACAGAAATGTATTTTTATATTAAGTAATTTACATCATCACACACAACCTTGTGTCCCCTGTACTCAACAAAGTAGAGATCTCTATTGGATTATGCTCACTTGAATGTAGGTCTGGAGACCCATGCCTTACTGTAAGGTTAAGCCTAGTATACACAAGAAATTTGAACAAAAAAATGCTTTCGAAGCAATCGTCCAATAATCTAATCATTAGAATGTAGCTTTCGAGACCCGATCATGACAGTTCATGTGAAAAATATCCAAAGGGACAAGCGCAAAAAATGTTCTCATAAGATAACAGAAAGTACGATTTTTGTGTAATTAGTATAGTATTTGTACAAAAAAAAAATCTAGTGACCAAGACTGTGCAAATGAAAGAATACAATACAATACAATACATTACATCACCTCCATAGTTGTGTTCTGTCTTACGAGAATTTTCATAACTTTAATAACCTATTTATTTTGACTAGCATGCAAAAAAAGGATGATCATTTGTCTGATATTCTCATCATGTGTACTAGGCTTAAGATAGACCTCTGTCTGCCTGAATCAATTGGCATGCATCCAAAAGGTCCTTTTTTGGTTTATTGAGCTGATGAGTGTGATTGGTAGACCAAAAAAAATTTAAATTTTCTTTTTACTGTTAAGCATTGCCTCAGAAATTAAAAAAAAAAAAACACAAGAAAAGGACATGAATAATTTATCTGTTCACTTTGTTATATATTTGTTTATTTGATTTTGTGTTTTCTACACAATTTTCTTTTTATACAGCAGGTGTTATATGGATTCTCAGGATCCAAACATAAAGGTCCTGGCCCACCAGGAAATGGGAAACATCATTACAATAGCTGTCAAATCCTCAGACTACAGCAACATATGTTGTCTCTTAAAATTAGAGGAGGTGAAGAGAAAAAATCTTACCTTGTGATTAACTGTAGCAGCTACCGCTGCTGTGTGCTTCATACACGCTCCTACACCTTCTATGAAGACAGATCCAGCTGTCAGAAACACACATCAGGCAGTGCAATCAGATTAAAATTCCAATACTACACAAATCCCATTTAAAGAATGGTACAGAGGAGACATTCGCTGTTGATTTTCAATAAAGGTGAGATGGTTTAGCAAAATGGGTAATTGGTTGAATGATCAGAAAGAGAGTAACTGTGACTTGCAGTTTACTAAACAGCTGCAAAGTTAAAAGAAATAGTGCAAAACAAGTTCAGGAAGTCAAAACACGCATACACTGCAGAACAATGAAAGCTGCACAAACATGGACGCTTCACAGCAATGTCTCTGTGACTCAACCAGAGTAACATATTGCTGCATAGTCTCTATAAGACTCTTTAACAACAGAGAGTCAAGATGAGAATCATACTTCAGTAAAATAGTAAAGAACACATCTATTTGTGATTATCCTCATAGACAGCAATCCTCACAGTGAAACCCAGGGTAGCACTGCTAATACAGGTGAATAACTGGGAGTTGGAGCATTCTGGTAGCAATTGGGGAGGGGATCTCCACAGTAGTTGGGTCCTTTGGTGGTGCTGTGTGTGGTTAGGTTCCAGCCTGGCTGTCCACACAGTGGTTCCGACAGTGGGAGACCTCTTACCTGGCTGCAGATCTCTTGCCCAGCTACCTCGGTCTAAGAAATGTATCTTCCCTGGTTGTATCCAGGAAGCCAGGGAGTTGTGGAAAAAGAAGTTAAGGGAGCCTATGCCTGCATAATAAGTAAGTGGACCCTCCACTACAGTGATAGTCCATGATAAAAAAAAAAATTAGTAGAATGTTGTGTATGCTATACTAGTGTCAGATGTGAAGCTATTTAAAGTGACTCTATCAGGGGGGTCAACAAAATAAAAAAGACACTACCCTATGAAGAACTGGCTCTAAAACATACCTCTCAAATTGTTTTATTTGACTCCTCTGGCTGGCTGAAGATTTGGTTCCCTTCTCTCTCTTCCCTTCCCTTCCTCCTGTGGACCTCTAGTCACTGCAGGACACAATGGTGCAAGGGCCTCCTGGAGGAAACACGGTGGTCAGCGGGGGACATGGTCTTTAACATACACAGGAGTGTGGAATCAGAACAGAACTGGGAACTCTGCTACAGAATTTTTACAAATGGGGTAACAAACATTAATAAAAGGGGTGAAAGGACCTTCTGAATCTGGTGCATCAGAACAAAGAGAATTGACAGGCTTGCCAGTTTGGTTTGCAATTGACTTTGAGGGTGCTAGACATCAGCTGTCATCAGCGCCAACCATGCCACTGTATGTACATCTATCTCAGCTAAAGCGGGAGAGTACCTTAGCATCTTCACCTAGGGTGCCAGAGAGCCTTGTCCTGCTACTGATTCTAGAAAAGTAAAAGATCTCTATGTGCACTCTCACCATGGAATGAAATGTGGAAAAAGACCCACATATTTTCATATTCAATTTTTGCTGTGGTTAAATCCTTCATTCATAAAGTTTGTTTTTGTGACACTGCATTAAAAATGCATTATACCAAAAACATAATTCTATTGTCTATATAGCATACAATAAAATTTGCAATTTTAGATACGTATTAAGCTACCTTAGCAACCCAAGAAGAAGCAGTGAAATGCATTGAAACCTGCATTATTGCTTTTAATGTACCTCTAATAGAAGAATCTTCGAAAGCATTCAGGAGCATGGGCGGACTGACCATTTGGAAACTCGGGCACTGCCCGAGGGCCCGGGGTCAGTAGGGGGCCCCATGAGAGGCCCCTGGTACCTTTTTCATAGGCTTTATTGAGTTTGGGCAAGGACACAGGGGCCCCATGATCCCCTATTGCCCGGGGGCCCCATGAGTTGTCAGCCCGCCCCTGTTCAGGAGTGTGGTGAATAAAGGACAGTCCTGTAGATATCACTAAACAATGCAAATATTTAATCTCCTGTAATACTGTATCTTGACACTCACACTTGATGGGAACAATCACGTTTTGCTCTTATACACTATATGGTATCATACAGCCATCCTAAAAGATAGGCATGTTTTGATCTCTAACCTTTAAACAACTGGTAAACACTTTGAAGTGCCCTCTCTATATACTTCTGGCAGAAAAAGTTAGAACAGATCAACATTCATTTATTTCTCTTGGTCACAGACTTAACCCCCCCCCCCAGCAGGGGGGTATTTTCTTCTTTCACTTGGACTACATGTAGCATTAAAAATAAAAGGGGGTCCTTACCTGACACTTGCAGCCTTCTCCGTATTGGGACTGGTGGATGGAGGTCTTACTAGATATCTAAAGCTTCTCTTGCTTTGGGAATATAAGTATAGGAACTTACCTGGCATTTGAAGTCTTCTTTAGAATTTAAAAAGCAGGCAGCAGATTTTACCTAGTACCAAAGTTTTCTCTAGCATTGAAAAGGGGGAAATCCGCTATGCAATGACTGGCCCCGAGCAAGATCATGCACTGACAGACACAGGTCATGTTTATGGAACTTCCATTAACCTTTATATCCAGCCCTCTATTTGTAAAAGTTTCCAGTAAAGAGGAGAAAGCTCACTAAATTCTTCTGCTCAGGGTCGCCCATGAAAGATTTGCTGTAAACAAGTCACATTATATGCCTCATTACCATTCTACTTACATCACTACTCCAAACCTCCAGAGAAAGAAGTAGGCAATTCCCCAAAACCTGCAAAATTTCAAATAGACCCTCAAGTGATATGGCCTTTTGTACTGGATGCTCCTCTATACTCGTTTCCAAAATTTTCTCTTGAGTGTCTTCATTGTCACCATCAGAAAGGCAGCAGCCTGAGACAGTAACAAGCTCCACCAACATTGCACCTTCATTGGGTGTTAGCCAACAGAAGGAGGACTCCCACTATAGTGTCCACCAAACCAAGCCTTATTTCCATTAGTCCAGTGTTGTCAAACAGGCATGTAGCATTAAAAAGGGTAGTGATGGGGTTCTTATCAGGCATTTGGAGCCTTCTCTAGCATTGGATATAAAAGTGAAGGATATTATCTAATATCATGTGCTTGCTCTAGTATTGAAACTGTAGGAGCTATGTTATGGTTCAGAGGCTTCTTTAGCATCAGGAACCATGTTTGGTGATCCTACAAGGTACTTGAAGTGTCAGGAACGGAAGTGAAGGAGCTTACCTCATGTTCTGAGTCTTCTACAGAATCAAAAATGATGACTGGGGATCCTACCAGGCATTAGGGGTGTCAGAAATTGATGTGAAGAAGCTTATTCAGTGTTCAGAGTCTTCTTTAGCATCAGGAGCACTGATTGAGAATATTACCAGCCATTGGAACAGTCAGGGATGAACGTGAATGAGCTAGCATCAAGAATGGAGGGAAATGGGGCAGTTTTTCCAGCTATTCAGAGGGCACTCTAGCAATGAATACGGAGGTGGGAGCTCTAATCTGGCATTTTGAAGCGTCTCTAGCATTGCAAATTATTTTTGCTAATTTGATATATTACAGAGTGTTATTAAGCTGTATCATGGATTACCGTTTCAGCATCTTTGCAAGCTCCATCCTTTTGTAGATTGTTTCTGGCATTTATATTACTACCCAGTACTATGAGTAGATGGTTTAATGGCTAGGAAGTTATATCTGCTCATGTATGCTTGAGCCATCTGGTTAAACATTTATTGTTGATATTTATGTTTTAAAAACGATTGCTTTATTTATTAATGCCTTTGAATTATAGTTGTGTTTTAAACCTCATAATAAAATGTTCTGTGGCTATTAAACTGCCAGTTACATGTCCTGTATTGTTATTCACCTAATTAGTTCTCATTATTTATTGGTGGAGGAGTGCAAAGGGATGAACGCAATTCTATGGCAGATGAGAAAGATGACATTTAGTTTGCTAAAGTATTGTGTATCGCAAACTATTTGCTATTTTTGGGGGAAAAAATAGTTTTCGACTTTTCATTCTTTGTTGCATCTCAGTGCTGCTGATGCCCTGCAGTCTTTTGCAGATTCTTCTTGTTTACATGCACTCCTTTAATGGTTAGAACAGTTATCTGATGTTGACAACAGTAAACTTTGTCTGCAAAATATGTCAAAATGGCTACTGTCTGACAGTTTGACAACACAGCAGCACAATTGGGCGGCAAGGGCAGAGTGGTGTTTCCTGGTAACAGGAAGTTCCTTAATACGTACTTTCGTTGCAAGATTGCCAGGTATTACAGTATTTCATGAAAAGTGCAGATTTTAAAATATTTAAAATGACTATTTGAATTTACATTTATATGAGCATGGTAAAGCTTATATGAGATTCTAGTGTTTGGATTTTCATACTCATTAAGTATTTCTACTGTATGCCCCTGTTAATATTTACCCCTGGTAATATTCCTAGCAACATGTGTTTCTAACTATGTCCCAATAAAATCCCAAGTAATGCAGACCCTTGAAATGCAACTGCTAACTTGTATTTCCGGCAATGTCTCTGGTTGTATGAGTTCCTGCTAGTGCTCCTCTCTGGTGATGTAATGTCCCTGGGAATGCAGGCCAGCAGACAAACCCAGTGATAGCATCATTGCATCTCAAAAAGGTATCTCCCGAAAACAGAAACATTTTAGTTGCATGTTGATCAGGTGGTGGAGAATTGAGCAAGGTAAGCTACTATACTGTATGTGTATATTATACCTCTGCTTAAATTTAATATACATTTATTTGAATTAGATTTAAATGTTTTTAAATACAATTAATATAAGTGGTGAATATAGACCAACAAGTAGAAGTGGAAAAGGGTCTTAGAAAATAAAAACTGGAAACGTCTCCCTCAGCATTTCAGAGATACAAGGGATGAAACATGAGATGCAAGAATGCAGCCAAGGCAGCTAAAAAAAACAATAATTCAGGTATATCAATATCAAAAATGAAAGGATGGAACACTTGGGTCCAACGAAAGGCCAATATGGAAAGTTGATCACAAATAACAGGGAGAAGGCAGATGTAACACATTAATTTTTTGTGTGATGGGAAAGAACATCTGTGGCTGAAAGAAAACCGCTCAACATAGACTAGAAAACGTTAATGGGAATAAATCATCAGGACCCGATGGCTTACACCCATGAGTTCTCAGGGAGCTGAGTTCTGTTGTAGCCAACCGGCTATTTCATATTTTTAAAGACCTTAAATTTTTAGTAAGACCTCATCTGGAATATGCAATTCACTTTTGGGCACCATTTCACAAAAAGAACATTGGGGAACTGGAGAAAGTACAGAGAAGGGCAACCAAACTGATAAGAGGCATGGTGGAGCTCAGCTATGAGGAAAGATTAGAGGAACTGAATGTATTCTCTCTTGAGAAGAGGAGATTAAGGGGGGGATATGATAAACATGTATAAATACATAAGGGGGATATGATAAACATGTATAATACATAAGGGGGGATATGATCACCATGTATAATACATAAGGGGGGATATGATCACCATGTATAATACATAAGGGGGGATATGATCACCATGTATAATACATAAGGGGGGATATGATCTCCATGTATAATACATAAGGGGGATATGATAAACATGTATAAATACATCAGTGGTTCATACTGTATAGTGAACTCGGTGTAGAGCTAATCACCCTGAGGTCATCACAGAGGACAAGGGGGCACTCTTTACGTCTGAGGAAAAGACATTTAATCTCCAAACACGGAAAGGTTTCTTCACAGTGAGAGCTGGGAAAATGTGGAACAGACTCCCTCAAAAGTTGATTCTAGCCAGCTCAGTGGATTCCTTTAAAAAAGGCCTGGATTCTTTCTTACTGTAGATACACAGAATATAGCTAGATACTAACATTTATAGGTAAAGTTGGTCCAGGGAATATCCGATTTCCTCTCAGGGGATCAGGAAGAAATTGTTTTCCCTGCAGGAGTAAATTGGATCATGCTTTGCTGGTTTTTTTTGCCTTCCTCTGGATCAACTGTAGGTATAGGATTGTAACTTTTTTTTTTTTTTAAATTGTTGAACTGGATGAACTTTTGTCTTTTTTCAGCCAGACTAACTATGTAACTATGTAAGACACCTTACTGACTGCAATGGAACCAACTGAATGGCATAGCGCTAATGTGGTACCAATATTCAAGAAAGGGTTGAGATGTATAACACAAAACTGCAGACCAATCAGCTCAACAATAATAGTATGTCTGTCTTAGGGTGAATGTTTGCTTGATACCAAGCTATGCTGGGAAATACATTCATTGCAAGATGTAGCAGCTTTGCAGGAGCACCTTGATAAAATAGGGGATGGGCAGCTAAATGGCAGATGCGTTTCAATATTGAAAAATGTAAGGTTATGCACTTGGGTGCTAAAAATATCAAGAGGGGCTCCTCTGGAAGAATAGGTGGAAAATTTTGATTTGAGTTGGTGGCCTTGTAGATAACACACTTAGCAAAAACATGCAATGCCAAGTTGCAGCTAACAAAGCTAACAGGATACCTTCATACATTAAAAAAAGTATATATTCAAGAGATAAATTAATAATTCTGCCCCTTTACAAAACACTGGTTCTGCCTCATCTTCAATATGCAGTTCAGTTTTGGTCACCGATCTACAGGAAGCACAACTATAGGACAGAACAATTACACTTATTCACTCTGAAGAAGAGGCACTGAAGAAGATGATAATGTGATCATCACAATTAGGGATGAGCTAAGGTTCAGGCTGAACTATGTTAGGTAAATGAGATCACAAACTTTCCTGTTCATTTGTTACATGTGGCTGCGGGGCGGGGAATTCTGTTTTCGTGGCTGATTGGGCTGGCAGTCTGCTCTCAAGTGACAGTTCCCCATGGGTTTGAACTGAACTTAATTTGGCCTAAACCTTAGCTCATGC